GAATTTGGCAATTATCTGCCATTCTTGTCCTCACCTCTTCATCTCTCAAGCTCTGTTGGGTTGGATGGGGGCAGATGCACATTTTCAGGTTTCTCCAGAAATTATTGATTGGGTTCAAACCCAGGCTCTGTCTGGGCCACTCAAGGACATTCACAGAGTTGTCTATAAGCCACTCTTGCTGTGTGCTTAGGGTCATTGTCCTGTTGGAAGGTGAACCTTCTGCCCAGTCTGAGGTTCTGAATGCTCTGGACTAGGTTTTCATTAAGGCTATCTCTATATTTTGGTGTATTGAGCTTTCCTTCTCTCTGACGAGTCCCTCAGTCCCTGCCACTGAAAAACAGCCCCTCGGCATGAGGCTGCTACCAGCACACTTTACTGTTGGGATGCTACTCTGGAGGTGATGAGCAGTGCCTGGTTTCCTCCAAACATGATGCTTGGAATTGCGGTTCATCAGACCAGAGAATCTTGTTTCTCACAATCTGAGAGTTCTTTAGGTGCTTTGTTGCAAATTCCAAGTGGGTTTTCATGTATCTTCACTGAGGAGAGGATTGAGTTTGGCCACACCGCCATAAAGACCGGATCGCTGGAGTGTTGCAGTGATGTTTGTCCTTCTGTAAGTTTCTCCTATCTCCACATATGATCATGGAGCTCAACTAGAGTGACCATCAGGTTCTTGGTCACCAGTCTAACCAAAGCCCTTCTCCATCGATTGCTCAGTTTCGCCAGGAGGCCAGCTCTAGGAAGAGTCATGTTGTTGTTGTTTTTTTCAAACTTCTTCCACTAAGATTAATGGAGACTACATGCTTCTGCAAACCTTCAATGCATCAGAATTTTTTTCTGAACTCTTCCCCAGAAGTGTGCCTTGACACAATCCTGTCTCTGAGCTCTACAGGCAGTTGTTTTGACCTCAGGGCTTGGTTTTTGCTCTGATATGCATTTTCAGCAGTTAGAACTTTTATTGATAAGTGTGTGTCTTTCCAAATCGTACCCATTCAAATGAATTTGCCACAGGTTAACGCCACTCGAAGTGTAGCAACATCTACAAGCAATATGAATGATCCTGAGCGAAATTTCAACTGTCCCAGGAAAGGGTATGAATACTTATGCAATGGAATCATTTCAGTTTTTTATTTCTAATAAATTTGCAAAGTTGTTACAAATCTCTTTTTTGCTTTGTCATTATGGTGTATGGGAAAAAAGTTATTTAAAGCAGTTTAACATAAGGCTGCAACATAATAAAACGTGAAAAAATTAAGGGGTATGAATACTTTTTAGGCACTGTGTATATATATATATATATATATATATATATATATATATATATATACAACACATTCTGTGGTAACACTTTGACTGAAGTTAGTCAGCCGGAAACCCCGCCACATGGTCAAATCCAACTGCAGATCTAAATATAGTGCAAAGACACAGATGAGGTCACTCTCAATGGGGCCCCTTCCATGACTTTTGCGAGGAAATGAGAAAACATGAGGGGAACATGATGAGACTGCGGACTTAATGTCTAATCCACTGCTGAACCTACAAACATGAGGCTAGAAGCATTTACTTGGAACATTTAAGGTACCTAAAACAAATCTGAGAGCAGCACTATTAGTAAGTTTGATGAAAGAGTGAAAATCCATCCAAACTCATTTATGAACATGTGTGAAACATATCTACTATGTATACCCTGAGGAAGTGATGTGACTTCTTTACTTCAAATGACACACTTGCCCATAAAATATAGCACTACATTACTTTCAATTTTAGCTGGGGGTGGGTATGTCCCACTTAAGTGTTCCAAATGTATTAGAAGACTATGTCAGTGGTTCTAAACTTGCTTTTTTCCCCTTTTTTTCTTCTGTTTTCTTTATTACCTTTATTACCATTAAGGTCCAGCTATGGCAGCTATGACAAAAATTATCCTGTATCTTAATTAGAAATTATAAAAACACATTTGTAATGTTTATTAACAAATATTATCAAACAAACATATTCAGTAACAAATTAAAAAACATATAGCCTTCAATTAAAAAACAAATCTGTAAAAATAGGAAATCTAACAGAATACGAAATCTAAGATGAAAATGAACTCTACAACATAAAACATTAAAAATGTGACTAATACATGCAAATACAGTAGGTTAACTAAACAAACAAACAAAACAAAAAAACACTGAACACAAAACATTTTAAATGTAATCTTGTATAACTTTTTTTTCTGTTTTCTCTAAACACTTTAAATGAATTTTAACCGTGACCATATTTTAAAGCTTTATACTCTGCATTAAACCTACGGCCCACTTTAGCTAGCACACTCAGCCAAAGTACGGCAGCAATTTTTAATCACATTACAAGAAAAACTTTTTTGAAATGCATTCTTTGCATTTTAATGTTAACTGCAGTAACAAATAATACAGGTACGGTCACAATTATATTTGTTTACATTTACTGAGAACCTCATAAGTTGGAAATTAAAATGTCAATGTCAAAGAGCTTACTACCTTTCATGATGGAGTCTTCCTTTAAGGTGTAGTAACAATTACCAAGGTAATATTGCATCAGCCAAACTATTTTTTCATTTAAAGAAATAGGGTCTCTTTATCTAAAGACCATTGTTATGCATTGTTATGTTATGCATTGTTATCCTTTGTGCACAGTACAAACAAGGTTAAATGGCCACTTTAACTGAATTCACCCTTTATTTTATTTAGACACAAGCAAAATGTTACTTACTGATCTATACATTATAAGACTTTTTACAATTTAATTTTACCATAAATAAAAGTTAAATCAGCTATAATATGAAAATAGAATTTTCAAATAAGATAAAACTAAAAAATGCTGTTAGTCAATGTTTAATTTAGTTTACTAACTATAAATGAAGGTGATATTCTCTTTTGAAGGACCTCAATGTTTATTGTGATGTCTTTAAAATATGCATAATTTGTAATTAATTTAAAAATAAACAAACAAATTAATACAATTAATGAAACCCCCCACATTAATTTCTGCAGACCCTAAAGCTATAGACAGTTTGTGTGCACATCAACATTCTGGTGTCAAGTGCAAATACTATTTAAATATTTTAAACTATTTTCAAGGTATTAAATTGGGTTACCACTTGTGCTGAAGCAAGACCAGCTGAGAACCATACAGTAGTCACTCTCAGAAACTCTATCCCTATCAGACACTTTAATCATTTTAAAATATGTTTATTTATGAGTCATTTGCAAGCAAAACCACCCATGTATTCACACTGCTTTACCTATGCATTTAAATCTTTCTATAAATACATGAAAGCAACAAATTCACAGAAATAAAAGCAAAATAGCTTGTTCAAAGTATATTTAAAATGGTTTGATTGAGGCCTGTTCAGTACATTTCATAAACTGAATACAGGCGTTTGTACAGTAATTGTTGTCTACCAAATAAAAATTAAAAATGTACCGGTCACATTAGTATGTCCTCAGCGGTTCTGATTCATTCTCTGAAACATTCATTCTCTTATGGTGTAATATTTAAACATTAAAGGAGGCAACTATTTGTTCAACTGTACACTAACACCTTGGTTACACCTAAAACAGTTGTTGTCATACAGAGCACATGTGAACCTCTGTTTTGAGAAAGTATACCTGCCAGTGTATTTTAATTCATTAACAGACAGCAACATCACGATGAGCATGATAAAGAGATCAATTGCTTTCTATCTCTTATCACGTAATTCAGCATAATGTGGTTCATGAAAAAAAGAATCAAATAATAATCCTCTACTTACAAAAACAAACCTGTGCCAACAAACTTAAGCTGTGAAGCCTATTGGTATTTAAACTCTGTGGGCAGTCCATTTACCATGATCAACATGCCACAATTATTAAGCCATTCACATAATTTAGCAAAAGTCCATCCAGTGGCCAGCCTGGATGTCTTTTAGAGTGGCTCATATGACTTTAGATAGCTTTGAAATATTGACCTCACAATACAAGCACAGTGTGTTCTATGAGTAAAAAAAAAGTCACTTTTGCTGGAATACCCGAAAACGCAATCTTTTCGAGGAGGGTGTCTTTTGTGTCACAGGTTTGTGAAGTTTTTTCACATGAGTCGGCAACAGTTCAAACAGCCAGCGGGTGGTCTTGGTCTTCTCTGTAAGGATGCTCGAGTAGCGGTCTCAAACACTTCCCGAACCCCCTCTTTCGTTTTGGCAGAGCACTCCGTGTAGTCGTGCGCTCCGATGCGAGCAGCCATGGCACGTCCGTCCTCCGTTCTCACTGGCTCCCGTTTCATTCTCGACAGCTCACTTCTCACATTGTCATCGCTCCGCAAATCTTTCTTATTCGCCACCAAAATTACGGGCACATTAGGACAGAAATGTTTCACTTCCGGCACCCACTTTTCAAGAACGTTTTCCAGAGAGTCTGGACTGTCCACGGAGAAGCACATGAGGATAACATCGGTGTCCGGATAGGACAAGGGTCTCAGTCGGTCGTAGTCCTCCTGCCCCGCCGTATCCCATAAAGCCAGCTGAACTCGTTTGGAGTCCACTTCAATGTCTGCCACGTAAGTTTCAAAAACGGTGGGCACGTAAACCTCTGGAAATTCATCTTTGCTGAAAACGATTAACAGACAGGTCTTTCCACATGCCCCGTCCCCAACCACCACCAGCTTTTTACGAATACACGCCATCAAGTGTTACAGGACCTGAAAGTAGCGGAATAACGCTTACAAACTGCGTAGGTAGCTGGGTTAAACATGAAACAAGATGTGTCAGTACGGACTTTATAAGCGCTCTGTGAGTTCTTAATATAGCAGTCCAATCAGTGTGAGGGAGTGCCTCTGATCTCACTCTCTTTCCACATGAGTCAAGTTCTGTCGGGACAGTTTTCACTGAGCACAAGCAGCCTGAAAAAAAAAAGTTTTTAATACTCCTTCTTTATTATGTTGGCTTCAGCTGAGAAAGACAATGTAGAACTATAGCCTATACCTATAGACTCTACATTCTGTGATTGTAAATTTATGAAATTTTTGGAAGTTTTAATAGTCTGTTATATGAGAACCGTAAATCCGATCAGTTGAAAAGGTGTTGCAACAATAACGCTTAGATCTAGATTAATTAAACACAAAACTTAATTTTTTTTTTTAAATAAGCAGACCTACATTTTTTTATTTAGATGTTAATACAGAGTTAGGCTACTTTAATCCTGTTGCTCCATTACTTTACACTTTATTTAAATCTTAGGGCAGTGCTGCTCTGTCACCAGCGGAGGTAGCCACTCTCTGCAGCGAATCATACCTGTTGTTTTTTGTTATCTGTCTTTTTTTAGGGGTTGTTATTGTTAATATTTTCAAAGATAAATGACCTAAAAGTGACTGGGCAGACCAAACCGTAAATTTAAGTTAAGGCGTAGAGACTTTGAGGGATGACAGTACCCACTCCATCTAGACACCAAGGCTCGCCCCGATCAGCCTGACGGGGGCACTACAGCAATCAAAAGTCTGGCGACATCAAGCGGGCGTGGTTTGAGCGCAAGGTCAAGGAGCATGCGCAGTTTACACGCTCCGTGTGAAGCCCACGAAGCGGCGATGATCTCGTTGGTACTCAATGGTTTGTTTACTTTTCTCTCATTTTAAATATGACTGATCTGATGTTAAATGTTAAAAACGGCGAAAGAAGTACTTTTGTTGAGTGAAAGTACAAGTTTTACTCAGGTATTGTGCTTGTTATCTCAGGTTGTGAGCTTGTTATCTCAGGTTGTGTGCTTGGTGTCTCAGGTATTTTGTGCTTGGTGTCTCAGGTATTTTGTGCTTGGTGTCTCAGGTATTGTGCTTGGTGTCTCAGGTTGTGTGCTTGGTGTCTCAGGTATTGTGCGCGTGGTGTCTCAGGTTTTGTGTGCCTGGTGTCTCAGGTTTTGTGTGCCTGGTGTCTCAGGTTTTGTGTGCTCAGTGTCTTATTTATTAATGTTAATAAATAGACCTTTTATGATATATAAAATATTGAAGAGTCACCTGAAGAGCATATACGTGAGATATATATATATATATATAAATATAAATATATAAATATATATATATATATATATATATATAAGGTCACTGCTTAGTCCTATTTGAAGTTATCCTAACAGGGGTAGAAGGGCAGTTTTTAAGCATATTTCATAAATTAATTGTATTCTGAAGCACAGTATAAAAAGCTTATATGAGATATTTGAAAAATAACTGATCAAAATTAGAAAACACACATAATTATCTGTTAATCTGGCACCTGGTGCTAATGTCTTTATATGACAAAACCTATTTAACGCAGCATTCCTCTAATTTTCAGATTGCAAGACAACGGGCCGCTCTAAGGTGACTAAAACCTTTCGACAGGAGGTTGTCCAGATGAAAGCTAAAGGGATGAACCTTTCAGCCACTGCAAGAGAAGCTGGTCGTTCCAAATCTGTGATTTCTCGAATATTGTAGGTTCAAGTCCCCCCAAAAGGCTTGTCGTCCACGTCCAGCTGGAATTGCTCACCAGTTCAGTGCTGAACAGGGTAAGGATCTGTCTCAGCACGTTTAAGAGAAGTCGGACCGAAAGCACACTTTGCAGTGACGAAGCCTCTCATCAGCAGAAAGAATCAAA